AGCTTCTCTGGACCCACTCTTCTCTTCCCCTCGCTGGTCTGCCACTGTGCTCAAAGTATTTCCCCATAGACTCATACTTCATGATATTGTGACATTTGCAGCATATTTTCTTTGTATAACTTTCATTTTAGTACATAAGACTGTTGTGTAAAGAACATGGTAAGTAATCCACAAGCACTCCTTCAGTCTCCACTAAAGCTTCTCTGGGATAGGCTGCCCCATCACAGGTTCGCCATCTCTTTTTTTTCCAGGTGCTATACAGATTTGAAAATAATCATAATTTTTACTGACACATCAATGGGAACATTTTGTATCTGCGTTTTCATAAAGAAATTTTCTTTCTACTAAACCCCTCAGAATTTAGTGCAGGCTGTCTTATCACACTGCTTATATCTCAGTCTCTCTTTATAACTTCTGTCATTGTAATTCTCCCAGGTGCATCTCTGCATCCTTATTACTTCTCTACTTATAACTTGAAATTAAGTCTTTAAAAAGCAAACTCTTATTTAATCGGATTTTCAGTCGTAACTAGTGAGATCTTAGTAATTGCCGTTTTGTCTTCTAGAGGGTATACATCACATTTTCCATAAACTTCTTAGCTTCTTCACTCCTGGTCCCGTGCTTTCCTTCTGTCTCCTGTGAGCTTTAAGTGTAGACATCTGTGGTCTGCATTGAGATATAATTCTCTCTGCCCTGCCTCAGCAAGTCTTTACTTTACACCTTGGTGTTTCTGCCCAGTCTTCCTATGGTAATTTTTTTCAGTAGAAGTTAGCGGTTTGTGATAGTCAGACACAGTGAAACTGGAGTGACCCTGGGTCTCCCTGACAGCTTAGTGAGGAGGCTTAGGGGCCTGCACACGTCAGGCACCACTTTTGTCAGGTTTTTTGTTTCGTTTTGTTTTTTTGTCCTGGCTTGTGATGTAAGTTTCAGGTACACATTCAAATACAGGAAGGCATTGATTGTGAGATGGAGGCATTAAGTCATTTTCCTCATAGCGATTAAAGTAGTGCTTCCAGAGTGTAAGGGGGAAGCGCCCGAGTCAGCATCAGCACCCACTTTCTACTCTGATTTTAATGCCTCCTTACGTTTTGTTCTGGGAGAGATTACAACAGTATATTATGAAAATCAGATCAGAAAAGCAGGATACAGCTAGATTGTTTGATATCAATTGCCATAGAAAGGGTAGGAAACTGGAAAAGCAGCTAAGAATATGAATACCTTTCAGAAACATGAGCAGAGATTCTGGCTGGGCGTTTTGGCATTTAGATAAATGCATGGTTAGAATGGTATATATAGATTATATAGATGGTTTAGTAGTTACAGCCCCTGGATAACATATGTGTGTCTGTTGCAAAGTGAAGGCTGTAGCAGGTAACTTGGAATGAGTTAAGTCTTTTAATGAAAAGGGATACTGTTTTCTTTTCTCTTTTTCCTGTTCTCAAACATGCTTGATGAATCCATTCATAACTTTTGAAATTGAAGTAATTTCTGCAAACTATATTGTACCCTGTTTTTAAATAATAGAAAGAAGAATAAAGATGGTTTCCTTCCAGTCCTCTTTGTCCTGTTTGCTGCATTACCACACCCTGTGTTTTCACCTTGCTGCCTCCTTATCCTCTGTAGGAAAAGTCACTATGAATAGCCCGAGTAATAGGCATTCTGTACAGGCAGATTGCTGAGTCATGAGTAGTGGATGTTCTATACAGGCTGACTGCTGAGTCACGAGTAATGAATGTTCTATATAGGTAGATTGCTGAGTCATGAGTAGTGCATGTTCTATACAGGCTGACTGCTGAGTCATTCAGTTCTGTTATAAAGTTAAGGAATATGGAGAACACTGTTGAGGAGAGGAGACGAGTTCTTCATCTACAAAGTCATTATTATTTTTTTTTGAAAAATAAGGATTTCTAATCCTTTCATCAGTCGTAGAGTTCATAATTTCAGCTCTATTTTTAACAGTACTATATTTTAAAACCATGTTAAATGCCTTAAATCATACTTCAGAAGTCTGTTGAATACAATTTCTAGTAGGTTTTAAGTACAATAACTTTAAGGTGATGAGAAGATTAATAATGTGGCCTGTAAATATTTCTGTAAAGTGTCAATATTTTTCCTGCTTATGTATATTAATATTCTAGCTGTACCATACTAGTTCTCTGCCTGTGAAATAGTTACCTCCAGAAGAGATGTGTTGCACCCTCGACAATAAAAGTAACATGTTGTCTTTTCCTTAGAGAGAAAGGGCCTGAGCATCCATATAGAACTTGAGCTCCCGTTTCTCCTTCCTCTTTCATTCCACAGTGCTTAAATCATAGCATGGTGCCAAGCAGATGGATGGATGAGGCCTACCACCAGAATCACTTATTGACAAGGCACAGCTTAAAGCCCACTGCCTCAGTGTAGTCTTGGTCTGGGTTCTGAAGGTGAAGGCAGGATATTTACTGACAGCCACCTGAGGGATCTAATACCAAATGTCAGCCCTGAAATCGTATATATACAAGTAACGGTATAGCAACTGAGCCAGTTGTATTTATATATTTAAGGATATACATATGTAACAACAGTTAAAGAAAAAGAAGCTATGAGTTTGAGGAGGGTCCGTGAGAAGGCTTGGAGAGAGGAAAGGGAAGGGGAAATTGAGGGTTCAGATGTTAATCCTGAAGCTCCCCTGAATGCAGTAACATTTCTCTCTGTGGCCAGAACGTCACATGATCTGTTCCATCTGTCTCTGGAGTGGCCCCTCCCTGGGCCCTCTGTGCTTGTCTGAGGGAGGCTCTATGAGCTTGCCCTGGGCGCCTGCCATGTGGACATTACCAGACCCCTCTTTACCTCTCTGAGTGGTGAATCCTGCTAACACAGTCTTCCAGACTTTCTGTTTCTGATGGGTTTCTTCTTGTTAGAGGGGCCATATCTTAGTAGTTTCTGACAGGTCTTTTTACTAAAGAAATTCATGCTTAGATAATCAATTGTATGACAAATATTTTTTTATCTGTTGTAATATTAGAATTTTGCTATGAAAATATATCTAAAATTTTTAGGAAAATTAAAAAATAGTCATTTTCTCTTGATGTTAAATCTAGAGCAACAAAAATATTGTGAGTAATTATTCTACTTTTTGAAGTCCTGGAAAGGCTAGCTACAAAACTGGTTATTGAGATATGTGTAAACTATATTCAGTGTTTTAGTTCTCATTTTTTGTGAATATTTTTATAACTATTGAGAAAAGACACTTAATGGTTTTTAAAAACTTGGTAGGCTTCTGCTAAAATTGATTTCATAAAAAAAGATGAATACAGAACTTACACTTCTGTCAAAAAACCTTAATATGTCCTTAAAAATAGTTTGTTTGTACTTTAATTTCCAAACAGTTGTGTCTTGTGGGGAGTGGGTGTGCTCTGCTTTGGCATGGGAGGACAGTGAGGCTGCCTGAAGTGGCTCTCAGGAGTTGGATGTGCTACTCCAGTCCCCAGTGGGGTGCCAGCAGCTCTCCAGTCCCCAGTGGGGTGCCAGCAGGTCTCCAGTCCCTAGTGGGGTGCCAGCAGCATTTGTGCCCCGGTAGATCCAAGAGGAGTCTGGGAGTGAGAGAGTTGAGCGAGAGCTTTCAGGTCAGCTCTGACTTTTGTTGCTGGAGAGATAAAAAAGGGACAGCCATGTCCTGTGGGAAACAAGGTCCTGTGAGGCCTGCATTCCTCTTTCTTCATTGTGGTGGCTTAAGAGATGATTCTAGAAGTTTGCAAACTTAGACAGCCCATCACTCATAGGGTGGCGGGATTGGTCCTGTTTTCTTCACTTTTACTTCTACCATGGAAAGATGTAGAAAACTACTGTCTCACTTTTATGGATCAGGGTTTTCAGAAAGGCCTGTGAATGACAGTTACTACGGAAGGAAGATGTTGTCCTGGAAATGAAATGGTTTTTACATGGGAAGTGGCAGAGTGCTTGAAGTCTGGAATATCCTGTCCCAACCTGAGGGAGTATGACCATCTTGCCAGGCCACCCTCCACCCTGACAGCCCCCCTCCACCCTGACAGCCCACCCTCCA